AGGGGGCACCGGCCCCACTCTGTGCCTGTGCTCGTGTCTGACGCCATCGGGGTGGGGTGGGCGGTGGGCGGTGGGCGGTGGCGCTCAGCCCGGGGCCCTGCAGGGCGCATCCCGGCGCCGCCTCCGCGCAGCTCTGGGCCCTCTCTGCTGCGGGTTCCCAGCTACGGGGTGAGGACGCTAGTGAAACCCACGTCGTCGCTTTGTTAATGGGGCCGAGTGACGCACAGCTGCTGAGAACAGCCCCGGCCCACAGCAAGCCCTCTACGAGCGTTAGGAGATGGCATTATTATTACTACCTCCCTCCCACCTAAGGGCCCTCCTCCTTCCCGGCTGGCCATCCAGAGCGCCTCGTCCCTCCACAGCAGACCCCAAGAAGGGCTCCTCTAGGAACCAAGCCCCCCCACCCCCCCCCCCCGGCTCCCTCCTGCCCCCCATGGTGGTCTCAGGCGGCCACACCCGCCGCACCCTTGCCCCCTCCTCCACCGATGTCTCTGGATGCGAGGGGGCGGGGGTGAGCCCCTGCCCAGGGCCGGACCCTCCGGAGCGCAGCCGGCGTACCCGGGCCTGGGCGCTCTCCAGGGCCACGCGGGCCTGCTGCTCCGCCTGCTGGATCTGCTCCTTCTTGTCCTGCGCCTCCTCCTGCAGCTGCTTCCGCCTCTGCAGGTGGTCGTGCTGCTGGCTCACCTGGGCCTGCAGCTGGCTGATCCTGGCCTCCGAGCCCGAGATGGCCTGCTCCCGCTTGGCGAGTTCTCGCTCCAGGTCCCACACTTGCTGGGGGGGGCAGGGAGACGGAGGAGTAGGCCTCCCACCCAGACCGATCGCACCCACGTGTCCCCACCTCCTCCCCGCACCAAGGTCCGCCTGGCCCGGCAGGGGCAGGGAACCCCTGTGTGCGTTTGATTTTTTGAGATTTGCTGAATGGGGGACTGCCTGAAGTAGGGGGGCCCGTCTCAGCTGGGAGGGATTTCAGCCTCTGTCCCCTGTCACCGCGGCTGCTGGCTAAACACCCCCGGCGGGCACCTGTCGGAGAAGGAGGTTGTCTTTCTCGATGAGCCCCATCATCTCCTGGTGCTTCTTGTCCTCCCGGAGGCTGGAGAACTGCAAGGCAGATGGGGCGGGGGAGGGGCTAACAGACCGCGCCCGGGTCTGACTTGTTCCCTCCCTGACCTCAGTGAGGTGACAGTGGTGGGATTTCTGACGAGGCGGGTGGGGAAGGGCACCACACACACTCGGGAAGGCAGGAAGCAGAGCCAGGCCAGCGGCGGGAGCAGCTGGAAACAAGCCCATGTCGCACGGCAGGGCCCCTGAACGCCTCAGAAGTCGGCGGTGCTGGGGTGCTCTGGGCGGGGAGGCTAAAATGAGAAGCATCACCTCAGAAGCCAAGAGCCACAGATTTGTCCCCCACCTTGAGCTGCCAGGGCCCTGCCCCTTTTCCACCTGGCAGGAGACTGGATGTAGGGGCACAACAGAGGGTCTCTGGCCGGGGAGATGCCCGGCTCTGTTGGTGGAGACCTCCAGCTCCAGGTGTGGGATGTGGGGCTGAACGTGGAGGCTTCAGCCTCTGACCCGCTTGGTCCCGGAAGCCCGGCAGCTGGGTCTTTACATTCTGGGCAAGGAATTCTTCCAGTTTCCCAGCTTCCGGGACATCTGACCAAACCGAGAGGAGAGATCTGTTGAACTGTGCACTCTCTGTCCTGAAGCCCAAAACTGCTCCCCGTGGACCCCCAGGTCCCAGGCAGCCCTGACCTTGGAGCGCAGATCTTGCAGGAATCACAGAAACTGGAAACAGACTTACAAAAGGAGTTTCTAGGAAATAGAAATGACACAAGGAGTTTGAAGCCACTACTACCACTTACGCATTCAACGAGGCCAGAGACACCACAAGTGACAGACAAAACGAGTGTGGGCTTCGAGAAAATCTTGGGAACTGTGAATGGAGCAAAGTTAAAACCCGGTGGGAGGGCTGCTGGTGAAGTTAGGGGTATCTCCTAACGAAATGAAAAGCAGGAGGGAACCGACAGGAAGGGAGAAGGAAAGCAGAACAAGACCGTTTGGTCCGCTGGCCAGACAGTGGGAGGCCAGAAGGAGGGAGCGGGGAACCCAGAGGAGGAAATAAAAGCTGTATAAACAAAGGGAAATCCCGTAGCTGAAGGGTGCCAGTCTCCAGGTGGCCACTGAGTGCCCAGGACAATGAAAATAGACCCTTAATAAGGCCCAACTGTGGGAGCTTCAGAACACTCGGGACAAAGGTGGGATCTTGCAACTTTCCAGAGAGGAACCAACCATGACCAAGAACGGTGTTGTCAGAAAGGACAAGGGTCAGGATGAGTTTGGGCTCCCCACCAGCAACCCCAGAGGCTAGGGGACGTGCGGCAGCGCCTTCACGCTGCAGAGGAAACATGCGTGCCTAACTGGAATTCTACACCTGACTAAGCTCCATCACCGTGCGGAATAAGGACGTGTGCAGAATACGGTGACCGCCCCCCATTTACCTCCACTCATCTTTCTCAGAAAGCTACTGTGCTCCAGTGTAAATACGGGAGTAGATCAAGGAAGAGAAAGTTGAGGGTGGCAGCAGTTTAAAATGCGGCAGAAGAATCTTAATACTCCTTCACAAAACTTAAGTTTCGGTCACATGCGTGCGCTCCAGCTAACTGTCCTCGTGATGTAAATATGGCGTCAACTCAAGGACATTGCAATAGAATAGTATGGGGGGGGGGTTCCCTGGGTGAGGGGAGGCAGAGGAGGAAAGAGGGAAGCATTGGATAGTGCCAAGATGGAGAAAAATCTGGAAGAGGCATTTTATAAATAATAAGCATGCTATCTAGAGATACGGAGAGCCAGCCCTGAGGAATCAGCTAGAAGAGCGCAAAGCGGTTGTTCTGGGGGACGGGCGAAGGGGGAAGAGAAGGTTGGACTCCTGTTGTGCGTAACAAGCCTGCGGGACTGTGAAGTTCCTTAAGCTACATAGCTTCGTGCGTGAAAACTTTTGATAAAAGAAAAAATTAGAACTGCCCCACAAGGAGCCGGGTCTGGGCAGTGGCATGCTCTCTCAGCTCAGTGGGGCTCTCACCCCTGGTGCTCAGAGGCTGGGAAATGCTTGAAAAGTTGCCAGGAGCCTAGAGGCCCAGGAGACAGGGACGCCCACTGGGGCCAGAGGGCAGCGTAGGGGGTGGGGGTCACGGTGTGAACCCCAGCTCTGCTACTATCAGTGACGTGACCCTGGGAATGTGGCTTCAGCTCCTGGGTCCAGCGCCTGCACCAGTGGGATGGCACAAGTGGGCCCCAGAGCGCCCTGC